AAATAGCAAAGTGGCAAAAATAAGTCCCTCCTTATCAGTAATTTCTTTAAATCAAAAGACAAGAGATTGGTAGAATAGATAAAGAAAAGTTGATCCAACTATAGGCTGTCTACAAGAGACTCACTTTAGACTCAAAGACACAAATAAGTTGAAAGTGAAAGGACAGAAAAATAGTAACCAAAGAGAGTTGGAACGGCTATGCTAATATCAGACAAAACAGACTTTAAATTGAAATAGGTTTCAAGAGACAAAGAAGGACAGTGTTTATTAATAAAATCTTCAGGGCGCCTGGGTGGCTCAGTTGGTTGAGCGACTGCCTTCGGCTCAGGTCATGATCCTGGAGTCCCTGGATTGAGTCCCGCATCGGGCTCCCTGCTCAGCAGAGAGTCTGCTTCTCCCTCTGACCCTCCTCCCTCTCATGTGCTCTCTCTCTCATTCTCTCTGTCTCAAATAAATAAATAAACTCTTTAAAAAAAAAATAAATAAATAAATAAAATAAAATAAAATCTTCAACACAGCAAGAAGCTATACCCAATACATTTATATACCTAATAACAGACCCTCAAAATATGAAGCAAATGTGGATAGAATTGCACAGAGAAATATAGTTCTACAATAACAGTTGGAGACTTCAATATTCCACTTTCAGTAATGGATAGAACAAACAGGTAATAAGTAAGGAAATGAAAGACTTGAACAACACAATAAATCAACTAGCCCTGACAGACATATTCAGAACACTCTACCCAACAACAAAATTTAAGTGCACATGAGACATTTTCCAGGATATACCATGTGTTAGGCCACCAACTAAATCTCAGTAGATTTAAAAAATAGATATCATACAAACTATCTTCTCTGATCACAATGGGATTAAGTAAGAAATCAAGAATAATAGAAGGAAAAATAGAAAATTTACAACTGTGGAAATTAAACACTCTTAAACAATAAGTCAAAAAAATCACAAGGAAAATTAGAAAATACTTAGAGATAAATGAAAATGCAATATACCAAACTTGTGGGATGCAGCAAAAGCATTGCTCAGAGAGAAATTTATAGCTTTTAATGCCTGTATTTAAAAAAAAATCTTAAATTAGTAACCTGACTTTATACCTTAAGGAACTAGAAAAAGAGCAAACTAAACTCACAACTAGCAGAAGGAAGGAAATAATGAAGAGTAGACCAGAGACAGATAAAATAGAGAATAGGGAAAAAGAGAAAAGCAATGAAATCATAAGTTGTTGGGTTTTTTTAAATATCAACAAAACTGACAAACCTTTGGCTACACTGACAAAGAACAAAAGATAGAAGACACAAATAATGAAAATCAGAAATGAAAGTGGGGACATTTCTACTGACCCTACAGAAATAAAAAGGATTACAAGAGAAAACTAGGAGCAACTAGATGCCAAGAAATTAGGTAACCTAGGAGAAATGGACATATTCCTTGAAACATGTATTTACCTAAGCTAACTCAGAAAGAAATAGAAAATCTCACCAGACCTGTAACAAGAGATCGAAGCAGTAATTAAAAACCTCCCAGCGAAGAAGAGCCAGCAACGGATGACTTCACAGATTAACCAAATATTTAAAGAAGAATTAACATCAATCCTTCTCAAATTCTTCCAAAAAACTGAAGAGGGGGGAAACCCTAACTGATTCTATGTAGCCCGCACTACCCTGATACCAAAGCCACATAAAAACATCACAAGAAAATTCCAGACCAATGTCCCTTATGAATATAGATGCAAAAATCACAACAAAATATTAGCAATGCAAATCCAACAGCATATTAAAAGACTACTCAGCATGACCAAGTGGGATTTATCCAAGAATGTAAGGGTGGTTCAGCCTAAGAAAACTAATCAAAGTAATACATCACATTAATAGAATGAAAGGAAAAGAGGGCGCCTGGGTGGCTCAGTCGGTTAAGCATTTGCCTTCGGCTCAGGTCATGATCTCAGGGCTTGGGATCGAGCCCCACATCGGGCTCCCTGCTTGGAGGGGAGTCTCCTTCTCTCTCTCCCTCTGCCCCTCCCGCTCCCCCCACTCATGCTCTCTTTCTCAAATAAACAAAATCTTTTTAAAAATTTTAAAAAGAATGAAAAGAAACACAACTATCTCAGTTGATGGAGAAAAGGCATTTGACAACATCCAATATCCTTTACCCTGACAAAAACTCTCTGAAAACCAAGAATAGAGGGAAAATTCTCAACCTGATAAAGGGTATTATGGAAAATCCACAGCTAATATCGATCATACTCAATGGTGAAAGATTGAATACTTTCCCTCTAAAGTTAGGAACAAGACAAGGGTGCCTACTTTCACTGCGGCTATTCAACAGTGTACTAGAAATCCTAGAACAGCAATCAGACAAGAAAAAGAAGTAAAAAGCATCCAAATTGGAGAGAGGTAAAGTTAATAAACTTGAGTCCCATGTAGGGCTCCTTGTGCAGTGGGGAGCCTGCTTCTCCCTCTCTCTCTGCCCCTCTCTCCGGCTTGTGCTCTCTTTCTCGGGCATGTGAACTCTCGCACTCCCTCTCAAATAAAATCTTTAAAACGACAATAACCACAACCAAAAGATGGAAACAACACAAGTGTCTAACAACAGATAAATGAATATACAAAATGTGGCCTATACATACAATGAAATAATATTCAGCCATAAAACAGGAGGAAATTTTCATTGATATATCCTACAACGTGCATGAACCTAGAAAACATTATGCTTAGTGAATAAGCCAGAGTCCTGAGCACACTAAGAAGGTGCACACACGAGTTGTGTCTTTCCACAATGTCAGCTCTATTCGATCATAAAGCAAAGTTAAATCACAATTATAAAACAGGTGCAGGATTCCAAACTCAGTGACAATTCACCATGCAATTAAACTTGGCTTCTGACGCAGCACACAAAGCAGGACAGAAAACAAGACTGCACAACAAACAAGGTACCAGAGGGGTGCAGGAAGTGAACGAACCAAATGCTAAGTCAGTGCGTGGGCGCGCAGCTGAGATAAGGCCTCCGTCTGGCCCAGGTCGGCTCTTGGCACTTACCGCTTCTGATGTTCAAGCCGTGAAGGGTCTGGGTTTTGTCTGGAGATCAATCCGACAGAGCCTTCGGGGGCATTTGCCTTTTTTAAGTGGTCAGACATAGAGGGGTCAGGTCTGAAGAGTCTGAGAATTTACTGGCCAAAAAATCCCTCCCTTTTTAAAGGGATTTAATCAGTTTGGGGTCTCTGCAGACCTTCTCTGGTTCTGCTCATTATCTGTTCTGGGGTGTCAGCTGACGTTGGTCCCGGGGCTGTCTCCCAGCTGCGGTACCTTACCTGCTCGCGTCATGGCTTGACACAGGCTCCTACTTGACATGAGAGACTCCATTTTGCTCTGTACAGCCAGACATAACAAATGTTAGATGTTTCCATTAATATGAGGTACTCAGAAGAGGCAATTTGATAAAGTAGAAGAGAGGTCAGCAAGGGCTGTGGGGCAGGTAGGAATGGGGCGTTATTGTTGAATTGATACAGAGCTTATATTGGGGACAGGTAGGCAGCACTGTGAATGTAATTAATGCCACTGAATTGTACACTTACAAATGGCTAAAATGGCAAGTACTATGGTATATTTTACCACACATACACAAAAAATAAAGAGGTGAGTGAGGGACGTGAAAGGGTTGAAATATTGTAAGAAATGACCTTTACGTAAAGCCCTAAAGGAGATGGAAGGCCGCGTGGCCATCTGCAGGAAGAGTGTGCGAGCAGAGCGAGTAGTAGTAGTAGGCAATAGACCCGAGGTGGGAGCCTGAGAGACACATTCCAGAACCGGGCGGAGCGGCCGCCAGTGAGGCTGAAGTTGAATGAGCCAGGGGGAGAGGGGAAGGAGGGGAGGTCAGAGAAGGCTCGGGCCACTACAGTTTGGTTTCTTCTGGGAAGGGGAGCCACAGGAAGGTTTTGAGCAGATAGATGCACGTGATCCAACCTGAATTTTAACAGGATGCAGTCGAACAAAACACCCCTGGGCACCGCACCGGCCAGCCAGTGGCCAGTTCGCGACCTCCAGGGAGTCTCCGAGAAAGCACCAATGCTTCCCAGGAGGCGCTTCCCCTAGCCGCCTTCGGGGGGCAGAAGAGCCGCGCTGAACACCCGCGTTCCGGAGCCTCGACACGCCCCGCACTAGGGCGCAGGTGGCTCAGGCCCTGGCGATCCTTAAGCGGAAACCTATCCCTACTTCCGCGCCTCCACTCGGCCCCTTTAAGAGCCAGAGTGTCCAGAGCAAGGGATGCCCGGGCGGGGGGGAGCGGGGGGAGGCGGGGAAGACTTCCGAAAGAGAATTCCAACTTTTCCTGGACCTGATTCCCCTCGGGCGTCCCTAAGAGGGCAGACCTTCCTTTCCAGAAACTTCAGTCGGTTCTTTAAGTCATTTAAGTGGAAGACACAAGAGGCCCGTAGCGACCCGTGCCCCCTGGACCGGAGCCTCTCCCTGCCCAAAGCTCCTCGCTTAGACTCGTCCCTCCCCGCAGGGTGTACCTAGGCGGGTCCATCGCCAGCCGGGGAGAGGGGTGTGGGCAGAGCGGGGACAGGTGCAGGGAGGGCCCCGCCCCCCTCAACAGGTGAATCACTCCAGTTGGTCTCGGTTCCCGTGAGTTACACTCTGCTCTGCTCCGCCCGGGGAAGGAGAGGGCGGGACAGGATTCCCAGTCTGCAGGCGCCCTCCCGGCGGACTGGACACTTGGTTCCGACCCTCGGGGCCGGGGCGCACCTGGGTCAGCCCACTTCCGGGGAGGGAGGTGGAGGAGCCCCTCCCCGCCACCCACCCCCTGGCCCAGCCCTCTGTTCTCACCCAGTGTACCTGGGCCGATCCATTCCCCAGAGTGCGCAGGGGGTGGAATGGCTCGGAGAGCCACAGTGGGTCAGGCAAGTTTCTCCCCGAAAGCTGGAAGCGTGCTCCTCATCCACGTTATTTCCGCTCATTAAAGTCCTGGAACAGGGCAGGGTGGGCTTGGAATAGGGACAAGGAACGGAAGCGGGAAGGGGAGGAGCACGCACCCCTCCCAGCCTTGGTGCGCGCCGCGCCCCCTACCCTCTAGATACCAAGTAGGGGACGCGCGGGCCGGACGCGCCCAGACGGCCGCGATGGCGCCAATGGCCCGCGGGCTTCCCTGGGGCATGGGCCCCTACCCGGCCTTTCGAGGCTGGGGCGCGGCCGTCTTCGTGTGGCTCTTTCTCAGAACCTTGTGCACAGGTACGGAGAGCGGGGCCTCTGGTGCGGCGGAACCGCGGGAGGGCACTCTAGAAGGGGCATGGATGGAGTTCTACACCGCCGAACAGGCTGGAGAGCTGGGGGAGGGGGAGAGCCGAGACTAGGATCTCCTGATCCCCAGGGTCTCGGGAAATCCCTTGGGTGCCAGAGTGAGAGGAAGTCCCTATTGGAGTCAGGGAGCGCTCCCCCGCCCTTGTTCAGAGACAGCAGGAAGTGAAACTCCCCGAACCGCGAGCGCTGGAGCGGCAAGGAGCATGAGACCCTTTGTGGTGTAGGGGTGAAGGACCACCCGATCACTGGGAAAGGCCGGGATGGGGACTTGGGCGCACCCCAAGATTTCTAAGTTTTGGGGTAACGGGGAGCGGGCACTCGAGGGACTGGATCAGACGCTTCCTGGAGAAAGAATTCAAGAAACCGTGCCCAGGCCTCGGGTGGGTGTAGGACTGGGGACTCCCAAGCCCCCAGTTCCACCCATGTCCCGAAGTATCTGCTTAAGAGTCTGGTGGGATGGACGTATGGACTTGGTGTGAAATCATCTTCTGCTGGCAAGCTTTCACCTGGATCAGGTGTTTGTTTGGGTGGGGGTGTGGAGGGGACATTCTCTCTCCCTAAGCACTTTTGGTGTGTTCCTTTGAGACGGCTTTGGGTAGGGTGAGGTGGGACGCTGATGGAGACATAGTGGGGGCTTTACCTACTCCATAGCAAAATAGTTCAGTGAAAGAACTCCAAAATTCCATGCCCCCCCCCACCCCATCCACAAAGCCCCGTGTTACTTGGCACCTGTAGTGGTTGTTTTTGCGGTAGGGTCTTGAGTGTGGTGGCTTTATGGTGGTCATTTGCGCTTTCCTGTATGGGCCACAGAGAGAGGTCCTTTCCCTTAGAGAATGGCTAAGGGAAGAGGGAGCTGGGTTCAGAGGCCACACCCTGGAAAGAGGGATGGACGGGGATGTTCCAAGAAATCTGGCTGTGTGACCTTGTACTTGTCACTTTGGCCCCATGGGTCTAGAAAATGGGCACGATTATTGGAGCTTACCTCTCCGGTCCCGGGATTAAGAAACAATGTGTGCTAGGCACTCTGCAAAGCCATTACACTTGTAAATGTCAAGCGGGTGACAAGTGATGTTGCTCATTCCCGCAGCAGTACTTCCCCGAGCTCACTCTCTCTGCTAACTCTCCTCTCGCCCTCAGCCCCAGCCAGCGCCATCCAGGTGACGGTGTCAGACCCCTACCATGTGGTGATCCTATTCCAGCCCGTGACCCTGCCCTGCACCTACCAATTGACCACGACCCCTACGGCACCCATCGTCATCTGGAAGTACAAGTCTTTCTGCCGGGACCGCATCGCCGATGCCTTCTCCCCGACCAGTGCTGACAACCAGCTCAATGCCCAGCTAGCAGTGGGTAACCCAGGCTACAACCCCTATGTGGAGTGCCAGGACAGCATGCGCACTGTCAGGGTTGTGGCCACCAAGCAGGGCAACGCCGTGACCCTGGGAGACTACTACCAGGGCCGAAGGATCACCATCACAGGAAGTATGTTGGGCGGGGCAGGGGGGCCGGGCAGGGCTTGCTGGGGTGGTGATGTCAGCTCCCTGTGCCCAGCCTGGTGTCCCCACCTGGCAGCTCTTGAGCACCAGTGCCTGAAATCGATCCTTCCATCCGTCCATCCGTTCATCCATCTATGCTTTATTTAACAACAAAGATTAATTGAGCACCTAAGATACGCAGGCGCTATTTGAAGCTGGAAATAGAGCAGTAAACACATTCATCAAATCCCTTCCTTCCTGGAGCTTGCATTCCAGGGAGGGAGGCGAACAAGATAACACATGCTGGCAAGTGCTTGGAACATAAAATTGGGTAATGAAGAGGAGCAGGGGTTCTTTTTTTAAGATTTTATTTATTTATCTGACAGAAAGAGGCAGTGAGAGAGGGAACACAAGCAGGGGGGAGTGGGAGAGGGAGAAGCAGGCTTCCCGCCGAGCAGGGAGCCCGATGTGGGGACCCCGGGGTCATGACCTGAGCCGAAGGCAGATGCTTAGGGACTGAGTCACCCAGGTGCCCCAGGGGTTATATAATAATACGAATACCAGCAACAATAAGTAAAATTTATGTAAGTAACAACTTATAAAGGGCCTCTTATGTGCCAGGCTCTAATCCAGGTTTATATGGATTAACTCATTTAGACCACACAGTAATTGTGGGAGGAGATTCTGTTGTTATTTTATAGAGGTCCGGAGAGGTCAAGCAACTTGTGCAGGGTCACAAAGCTGGGAACAGAGCTGGGATTCTAAGTCGGCCACTTTGGGTCTCGTCTCCAAGCTGGTAACCCCTTTACTTGCCTGGGGTGGTCAGCGAAGGGCTCGCCACGGGGGTAACTTGAGTAAACTGACTGGATGAGAGATTTTAATGGATAAAGCCTATGACTTGCCAGGCACCTTAAGCACACTTTCTCCCGTGGGGTCCTCACGACCACATTGTACACGCACAGCATCTGGGGCACAGGGAGGTTAAGTGGCTGTCTAGGCACACACCTAGGAAGGGGCTGGAGCTGGGATTTGAACCCAGGCGGCCCTCAGAAGCCTTGTACTTAACCGTAAAGCTGCCAGCTAATAAGATGTGCCTATTGGGACTAAGTTAGGGGAAGGTAGAGAGCCGTTTGTTCATTCTTTTTGGTATTTATCGAGCATCTCCTAAGTGTCAGGCAGTGTTGTTGGTGCTGGGGATGTAAGTGGTGATCAAGACAGCCAAGGTCCCTGCCCTCGAGAAGGTGACATTCTAGTGAGACAGGTGGTAAACAGGCAGATAAAGAGTAAGAGAATTTCAGGGAGTACTAAGTGCTACAAAGGAAGCCAGCTAAGACCAGGTGCTATATGGAATGACCCAGGGGTGCACACCTTAAAATCTTTTTGCGAATGTGATTTTAGAAGGACCAGACCCTAGAGAATCTTGAGGAAGGTGATGGGCTGCAGTGGGCGAGGGGTGAACACTCAACCCACTTAATGGATTTAGCCTTTCACTGTCTTAAACAGGGATTAGAGTTTTAATCTTGGGCATGGGGACAGAGCGGGAAAGGGAGCGTCCCTTTGCAGACCCCAAGAGACCAGACAGGCACACTCAGTCTGTCTAGGGACCCAGCCTTTCAGGCGTGTTTGGGGGAGGGACCAGGCCTGCTTGCCCTGAATTTTCCTGAGCAGCTGGGCCTGAAGCATCCTGCTTTTCTGGCGGTGGGAGAGCTTCTTGGGTTCAACCTGCACAGGCCCCTCCCCTATTAGCCCGCACCCTCTCGGGCCCGGACCAGGCATGACGGCCCAGCAGCTCCGTCAGGACAACCCAAAAAACTGAGGGTGCCCTTGAAGGCTGGCTAGAATCATGCTTCCTCTGCTGAGTCTAAAATTCCAGAGTGACCCTCAGGCTCTCCTGGGGGTAGACTCTTCATGTTCCAGAGGCCCCCAGGCTTTGGGTGTTTTCAAGCTGCCTTGACGTGCTGTTGTGTTTGATACAGGCCATAATTTGTAAATATCCATTGTGTGTATGTCCTCTCAGGAAGCCCGGGAGCTGCAGGAGCTTCCTCCATTTCAGCTTTGAGGATGGAGAAAAGTGGACCTCCTTCTGGTGCTCTTGGAGTCACCAGCTGTCCAGGTTTTAACCGAAAGTTGTCCTAGGCAAACTATAATGGTGCGCACCCTTGGGGTCCGGCAGCCTGGGGTGGCTCCCACTACCCCTCCATCCATCTCTGCTCTGGCTGATGCGGAGCACCAGGATAGGAGCCTTGTTTCTACCTCGCCAGGCTGCTTGGGCCTCCTGAGACCCCTGAAAAGAGAGCTGCCTCTGCTCTATGTGGATAAGGAAGCAGAGGCCCAGGGGTATGGAGAAGGCCCAGCTTCTGTTCTCAGCGGAAGACCCAGCATCTTCTGGTACCTGAAACAATGAGGGCAATGCCTAGCCCAGCTGGTGTCAGGACCAGACACAGACCGGGAACAGGGTGTGCCTTGCAGGAAGGAGGTGGGCCCAGGCCTTAGAATTGATCAAAAGAAGCTGTAAGGCCTTATTTTTTTGTGGGTTTTGAAAACATTATGCAGGCCAAACAAAACACATTGAGGCCAGGATCTGGCCCCCTGGAGCCCAGATTTCAACTCCCGGCCTGTGAACTTTTGCAGGAGCAGGGGGTTCCCGTCCAGTTCCTCAGCATTGTGCAGGGACCTGCCCCTGAGCTCTGACTGGGGAGAGATGTGGTTGGAGTCTGATTTAAGGATATAAGTGGAAAATCGATGGGCCGACGGGGTGTTACAGAGAATCAGTAAGATTGGGAAGCAGGTAGTTCAGCGTTGTATGAGGATTCGATGAAAGCACAGAGAGAGCTCAATACTCTGTGGCTAGATGCGTGACCGCGGAGGGGAGTCATGTCCTCCACCCCTTCACGGCTCCTCAGAAGGTTACCTTACATGAAGGCCTTCCCCCAGTGCCCCCTGAAATTTGCACAACTCCTGCCTCCACTCTGGTACTTTCCCTGATTGGTTTTCTCCATACTGCTTATCACCATCTGATACGTGATCTATTTACAGTTTTTATTTGTCTTTCTTTCCCAGTTAGGATCTGAGCTCCGTAGGAGCAGGGATTTGTATCTGCTCTCTGTCACAGTGCTTCTTAAATGTGTCGGTTGGAGAGCCTCTAGGGTCCTTTCTTTTATTTTCACTCTTAAATCCTTCCAAGAACCTTGTTTTTATAACTAGCAAGCTGAGAGAAGTTTAAAAAATACTCAAGATGACACTAACAAACTCATTAGCGGTTAACATAAATAACATGCTTTTTATGAAAAATGACCATATTTTCCAAAACACAGCAAAAAACTTTAATGAAAAGTATGGCATTGCTTTAGCTTTATATTTTTGCACGTCTCCTTCAAGTCTGCCTGAATAGAAGAAGCTGGATTCTCAAAGCTGCTTCTGTATTCAATTTATTATGACAGTACATGGCCAGTAGCCTCGGGAGGACTTCAGGGCACACTCATGAGAGTTTCCATGAAAAAGGCAAATAACATCTTAGTATTATTATGATAATAACTTTGACCTCAAGGCTGCCCTGAGAAGATCTGGGGGAACCCCAGGGTTCATAGCTCAGACTTGGAGAACATTCGTTCTTTAGTACACCAGGTGCCTCAGATACTGCTGGGAACATAGGGTGCATTCGGGAATTACAGTGTTGAAAATTGAAACGATGTATCAGGTGCCTATTTGAATATAGCCATGTGTCCAGAATGCTGGAATAGATGACAAGAGCTAAGGAAGCGGAGCATGAAGGGGGAAGGGGTTCATTTCCAGGTCCTGGCCAAGGCCCCCGTGTCAAGCACTGGGGACTTGGCAGTGGCCGAGACAAGCCAGATTCTGCGTGCACAGAGCCCACGTTCTCCTGGGCGTGGGGTCATGGACGGTCAGCCCCTAAGCTGGCTGGCACCGTCCTGCAGTCAGGTGGGGGTTATGCTTTCAGGACAGAACCCGCCCTGTGAGCATCTGGGAGCCCAGTGCCAGCCAGAGGGAGTAGCAGGAGCCCTGGCAGGTGATGGGCCCAGCATCTTGGGGGACAGCGAGGAGGCCAATGTGTCTGTGGAGTCTGGTGAGCAAAGGAGAACCGCAGGGTTGAGGCTGATGTGGTAACCAGTAGCCAGATCTTGCCAGGGGCCTTACAGGCTGGGGTTAGGTGCTTGGAATGGTGTAGGAAGACATCAGCAGGAGAGTTTTTCTTTTTTCTTTTCTTTCTTTTTTTTAGGAAGAGAGTGGGAGTGTGGGGGAGGGGCAGAGGGAGGGAGAGAGAGAATCTCCAGCAGACTCCCTGCTGAGCACGCAGCCTGATCTCAATCTCACGACCCTGAGATCACACCCTGAGTCAAAGTCAGGAGCCCCAGGAGGGTTTTTCTGTAGACGTGGGGTCTTCTGAAGAGGGAAGAAGGCTCCCGTTCTTTCATTCCCTCAGCAATGGACTGGTGCCCTGGTGGGTGCCTGGTGGTGAAGCCACCATGGAGCCGCCATGGAGAAGGGCAGTGGGTACGTGGGGCAGGGAGGTAGGCAGGTCGGCAAGAGCCACAGGGGAGCTCTGGGGGTGCTCACCTCGCCCGTTCCGGTCTGCCATCCTCCACGAGTCACCCGTGGTCCCGCCCTGTCCCACGGGAGTGAATGGCCAAAGGGATTTAACTAATTAGGGCCTGAGGAGCAGAGAGGAAACCAGATGTGCTCAAAGACTTTCATTACTGCCCTAATTGACGGGCTCCTCGCCCGCCTGAGCGTCCCAAGCCCTGGGCCTGACCTGGAATGTGGGGCTGACGACTCAGGAACCGGGGGGCGGCCCTCGGCTCTGTCTCACAGCCACCCTTTCTCGTGCCTGGGCGGCACCTGATTCTTGAAGCCTGGCCTGTTTATCTCTGCCTCGCCACCCAGGCCCCTTGCCCCTGGGGCTACACCAGGCCCTGGGCTGGTTCGTGTTGGGGGAGTTACCTTTGCTGTGAGGAGGGGTACGAGGATGGCTGTAGGTCTGCAGCCCAGGCTCCAGAGTTGGCCCATCCGGCTCCAGCACTGATGACTGTGACAGGGCGGAGTGGGTAATCTTGCCAGGCCTCTTTTCTCATCCACAAGACAGGAAAGGTAACAGGACCCACCTCACAGACTTGTTGAAATACCCCGTGTTAAGTGTTTACAACAGACCCTAAACAGTAGCACACCCTTGGTACGAATTATCTGACGTTCCCTTGGTCCATCTGCAGCCCCGAGCTGCTGACATGTGCGTGGGAAGGCTCCGGTCCACCCCCCGCCCCGACGTGTCTTCATCCCTCTCCTGTTGCAGATGCTGACCTGACCTTTGAGCAGACAGGTTGGGGGGACAGTGGCGTGTATTACTGCTCTGTGGTCTCGGCCCAGGACCTCCAGGGGAACAACGAGGCCTATGCAGAGCTCATCGTCCTGGGTGAGTGGGTTGGGCCCTGAGGGCCTGGGAAGGGGTCGGGAACTGGGATCAGGGCCTCTTCTTCAGCTGCTTCTGTATGTCTGCCCTCTGCCCTTCAGCTCACTCTCTGGACTCTGTCGCTGCTTCATTCTCTTCTCATGGCACCGCCAGTCACTGGGGCTTCTCTGTGCCCTGCACCCCAGGCAGGGGCCCCTCCCCCCAACATTTCAAATACGCCAGAGCCAAACTTGAGAATGGAGAGAATTGGGGACTCTACCTCTTCCCGGTCTCCTTTTTTTTAAATCCCCAAGTTTTCAGAGTTAATTGGCAGGGAGTGAGGAGGGAAAGATGGTGTGTCTCACTGAGGGGAGACTGGACCCACCCCTTGCCACGTCCCCAGGGCCGCCGCTCACCCCGCTTCCCTGGCCAAAGCTCAGGAACCTCACCCTCTGCCCCGCAGGGATGGTGCTGTGTGGCTGACACAGTGAGGCCGCCGCCCCATGCTCAAGGCCAGGGTAGGGTTATCCATCAGCAGCCCTCGTCTGGCCGCGAGGCCCCCCTGCCATGTGTGGAAGGGACGCTGCCATTAGCCGGATGCCTTGTTCTTAGCCAGCACATTCGGGCTCGGGAGGCGTGTGCTGTATGTGTGGCGCTGCCGGACTGAACGTTGCCATCATCACCCGCATGATGCAAGGAAACGCATGTGTGAATGAGCACACATGATGGGGGCGTGCCCCAGGGTGTTCCGATCACGACAGCTCGCATGTGGGTGACAGAACGCATGCAGCAGGGACCCGGAGAACTCCGGGTGTCCGTGGGCCAAACGCACAGCCTACATCAGCATTTCTCAAAACGCAGCGTCAGGACCTGCTTAACACCGTAAAAAAACCCCTAGAGGATCTCAAAGAGTTTGTGTGTAAGTTTTTGTGGATGATGATAGTTGCTTAACGTGACAGATTGAGAGCAGGAAATTTTTAAAGCTCAAGGCACGTGAGCACGCCATCTACTATCACCAGGGCGATGAGGCCACCACTCATCACGGAGCCTCTGGAACACACCTGTGGGAGAGCACCTGCCTCGCGAAAAAGGCAAACGAGACTTGGTGTTACTCTGAAAGCGGTCTTGGCCTCATGGGCAGGACCACGCTTTGGGAGCCCCTGCTTTGCATGCTAGAACCTACTTGTGGGGGCAGGTGGCGCAGAGTTTTGCGGACGTAGAGCCAGGTGTGTGGGTGCCCCCGCGATCCGACGCTCGTGGGGCGCGGAGAACCGGCGGCACTTAAGGGGAGTGGGCCTCGGAGTTTGTACAGGGGACAGAATGTGTGAAATGAGCTGGAACTCAGGGCCATTCTGTGATTCTTATGGGCTGTGGGCACTTCTGCCTTCATGGGCCTCTTCCTTCGTGTTAAAAAATTAGACGTCTTATGATTGCATTGCTGTAAAGACAGTTCATTATTATAGATTGGGTGTTACTATTTTTTTTCTTCAGATTGTAAAATAAAATGAAAACATCTAGGGCACTGTGCCTACCTTGCCTGATGGAACAGGACTATCCGTCTCGCCAGGAGATGGAACCCTTGGGGGTGATAGGACCTGTGTATGTGGAGCAGTTGGGGGACCCACACTTGAGGTTGAACCTTCAGAACCCACAGGATGTGTTCTGGAACACTTTGGGGCAACAGAATGCCCCATGGCATGAGAGAGTGGGTGAATTATGGGGTGGAAGCCTTCTAGAAAACACTCACATGGCCTGGGGTAGGGGGGGTTGCAGGAGCCATGGGCTAGGACCCTCCTAGGCCACGAACCCCTCTGCTGCAGGACATACCTTCACCCCGAAGAGCCTAGAGCGTGGCTTCAGGGTAGGGGCGGGCTGGGCTGGCCCCTGCCAGCATAATCTGTCTCTCTTTTGTCCCTCCAGGCAGGACCTCGGGGGTGGCAGAGCTCTTACCTGGTTTTCAGGCGGGGCCCATGGAAGGTACGGGGTGGAGCCCCCCCCCATCCTAAACACTGCTCGCTGTGGACCCCCACTAACCCCCCCTGACTCCAACTCCGTGGTGTCTAGTGACCTGGCTCTGGGGTTTGGGGTGGGCCGGGCTGGCTGAGGAGGGGCCTGGGGTGTAGGCAGGGGGCTCTTGTTGACTGGCGCCTGCAGGGATCTTCTAGAGGGTGGCATCCGGGCAGCTGGCTCTCTGTCCCTCCTCTGCAGCTATGTTCTGTTCTTGCTCCGGCCAGGTCACCTCTGGTTTTCTGCCTTGCCAGAGGAGCCCAGTGCAAGTTCCCTGAATTCGGGGCTGGCCCCGGGTGGTAGAGGGTGGGCGCCCCTCTGCTGCTGGGGCCCCTGTGTGTGGCTGGAGAATCCAGCAGGGGTCGCAGCTTCCCCAGGAAGCTTCACGAATAGCCTCGCCCTCCCCCTGACTCTGCATCGCCCCCACTGTGCCTGTGTCCCTGTATCCCCGTGTCCCCCCCCCGCCCCCAGGCCTCCTGCTCACGGCCTGTTCTCCTCTCTCTGCAGACTGGCTGTTCGTGGTCATGGTCTGCTTGGCTGCCTTCCTTGTCTTCCTCCTCCTGGGCATCTGCTGGTGTCAGTGCTGTCCGCACACCTGCTGCTGTTATGTCCGGTGCCCCTGCTGCCCGGACAGGTGCTGTTGCCCGGAGGCGCGTAAGTGCCCCTCACGTGCTCACCCCTGCACGCCTCCCTCCTGGCTCACGGGGTGGGAGGTGGCCATCCGCTGGCTTCCCAGGACAGCGCCGTGGCCTGGAGGGCGGGAGGTGGGCAGTCTGGGAGAAGGTGGGCCAAGGAGGTTCTGCTGTTTGAGGTGGCCGGTTACGTACACTTCCAACTTTGCATTCATTTTAAACTTTCACTTAGAATTGTTTTGAAAGCATCATTTATGCGCATGGTAAAAAAAAGTCAGATAGTACAAAACATCATTCACCGGGAAGTACAGCTTCCTTTTTTTTTTTCAAAGATTTTATTTATTTGAGAGCGAGGGAGAAAGAAAGAAAACGGGGGGTGGGGGCGGGATGGGCAGAGGGAGAGGGAGCAGCAGACTCCCTGCTGAGCAGGAAACCTGAGGCCAGGGGGACCGCAACCCAGGACCCTGAGATCATGACCTGAGCCGAAGGCAGGTGCTTAACCGACTGAGCCACCCAAGTGCCCCAGTAAAGCTCCCTTTAAAAATAAAATCTTAAATGAAAAAGGTAAGAAACCAAACAAGGTTTACAGCACTAATATAATTTACACAATTAAAAAAACCCACATCCACACAAGCACACTGGGTTTTACGCAGATACTATGTTTAAGGACATCTAGCACATCCAAGTAGGTACCTGGGGAGCTGGGGGGGAGTGGGGCCAGAGATGAAGGGGGAAGCAAAGGAGAAGGCGGGGTCTCCCTCTTGCCACCGCCCCATTTTCCCTCCTCAGGGATGGCATTGTTGCCAGTTCCTTCCAGAGTGCCAGGGGATGGCTGCACCTCTGCTCAGTCCAAGAGGCTTTCACGGTGAAATCACGGGCAGTCCTTGTTGGCTTAGGCAGGTGGAGGTTGGAGGCCTGGCTGGATGTGTTACCTGCTCGGAGGCCTAAGGAGTGACTTCCCCTTGTGTGTCCGGCACTTAGTGCAGGGCTCAGCCTACATAAAATGCTCCTCGCCCACTAGCTGTTGGCCATGTTGCTGTCAACACTGGTAATGACCGAGGGCCAGGAAGCACACTGGAGCCGTGGCCACGGCCACTGTGTGACCTCGGACAAGCAGCACTCACTCTCTGATCTGGTTTCCTTCTTTATAAGGTTCCCATGAGGTGTTGCGAGCATTAAGGGAAGAGTGGGTGCGAGCACCCAGCACAGGGCCGCTGCTCAATCCTTACTGGCTAATTTCCTGATCCTTGAACTCACCAGTGGACAACCTGGACCCTCAAAGTATTATTGCCCTGAGACAAATCCACTGCTCTCTGGGGGCTGATGCTGGCCATCCTGTGTTTCTTGTCCTTTCTAGTTGAGGGCCTCAGCCTCAGGCAGTGGGTGTTAGTCCCAATCACAGGTGTGGGGGCCCCCCCCCCCCCGCAGAGGGCTGCAACCAAGTTTGCAGTTACTACTCCATTGATTAAGGCTGGGGCCAGGAAGGCCAGTGTCCCAAGGCCATGCTCCTCCCATCCCGAGACGCTGATACCTCAAACAGAGGATCCATTAACTCCCTGCCGTGGGCTGCCAGTGTGTTACTTTTGCCAGGGCCACAACCCTGCTGAGGCGGCTGGGAACAGCAACTCCCACAGCGAGTTATAAAATGCCCACTCCCCCGAGCTACTGAGGGGCCTCTCCTGGGGCTGCTGAGCGCTGAGTCTCCTGCTTCCAAACTGAAGCAGAGGAGGGAGCTTGCTGAGCCTCCCATTTCCCTGTCACAATCCCAGGGAGGAAGCAACTTGCTCAGTCAGGCCCAGTGACTTTGAGCAAGCCATCTGAACCCCGCCTCTTGCTTGGGGAGGAAGGCAGCAGGGAGGATTTGCCCTTGAGCTGTCAAGCCTAGCACCAGGAGGGGGCTGGCTGGGGGTGGGTGTGGCCCTGGGGTTGGAAACACTAGAGGTACTTTGAGGAGTTACTTGGCTGCTTGGCCGAGGCAAGTGAACGCTGAGGCTCCCACGCATTTGCCTCAGAATGATTCTCATTGCATCTGGGCCTGCAGAACCCAGCAGCCATGAGAGGGGAGTGGGCATGGGATTCCTCCCCCCCCGCCCCGCCACCATGGTGGCTCAGCGGCCAAAGGGGAACACTTGAATCCTGCTAGAGGGTCTAGTACATGGGCCTTATCTAAAGGGGCATCTTTGCCCCCTGTTGCTCTGTAAGAACCCAGGCCCAGGGTGGCCTCATCTCCTGACGAGGCAGCTAGAGAGCTGGGATTTTCAGTAAAACCCCATCAAATGCGGGCAAACCATCATATAGTCAAACAAATGCATTGGCTAGCCAGATGGGGGCTGTGGGCTGCCAGTGTGCACCCCCTCCCCAAAAACCTGTGTGAGGAAACACAAAGGAGGTGTGGATTCAATGAAGCTGATGGCCCGAGTCTCAGGAACCCTACAGAAACCAATCCAAGTGCCTAGGGAAGCCCCACAGCTCGGGGGTTGCGAAGAAGGTCCAGGCACATGTCCCTCCAGACCCTCCAACCCTGAAGGACAGCCTGGCTCCTGGCTGCCTTCTCATACTGTGTGTCCTCCCCAGTGTATGCTGCAGGCAAAGCAGCCACCTCAGGCGTCCCAAGCATCTACGCCCCCAGCACCTATGCTCACCTCTCCCCTGCCAAGACCCCGCCCCCACCAGCCATGATTCCCATGGGCCCCATCTACAATGGGTACCCTGGAGACTTCGACAGGAATAGCTCAGGTGAGGCCTGGGGGAGCTGGGACCAGCTGGGGCAGGGGTAGGCTGGGCATTTGGGCACTAAGGGGTCTGGGGCTGGAAGAAAGGGACTGGAGGCTGGGCCTGGAGGGCTTTGTTCCAGGTGGGCGGCCACTGACAGTCGAATCTCCCTCAGTTGGCGGCCACAGCTCCCAGGTACCCCTGCTTCGTGACACAGACAGCAGTGTGACCTCTGGTGAGAACCAAATGTTACAAGGTTGGACATGTCTTTACGGGAGGGGGTGGGGTCAGCGTCTGTTCTCCTAAACTGATCGCCTCCATTTCCTGTCCTTAGAAGTCCGCAGTGGCTACAGGATTCAGGCCAGCCAGCAGGATGACTCCATGCGGGTCCTGTACTACATGGAGAAAGAGCTGGCCAACTTTGACCCTTCTCGACCTGGTGCCCCCAATGGCCGTGTAGAGCGGGGTGAGTGGGATCCTTGCAGTTTGAGGGGTGCCTGAGTGGGGAGGGAGAAGCCCCGGGTATGCTTGCTGCAAATCCTGGACATAGTACCGCCTTCCCTACCATGGCCGCAGTGAGAAGTCTAGGGCCCCCTAGAAAGTATATGAGCCAAGTGGGTGACTCTGCTGGGCCCTGGAGTTCCGGACCTCCCAGCAGTCAGTGACACCCCCCCTTCTCTACAGCCATGAGTGAAGTTACCTCCCTCCACGAGGATGACTTGAGATCCCGGCCTTCTCGAGGTCCTGCCCTTACCCCAATCCGGGATGAGGAATGGGGTCGCCACTCCCCTCGAAGTCCCAGACGGTGGGAGCAAGAGCCCCCGGTAGAGCGGCCAGGGAGTGGCTGGGGGGCCGGGCGGCCCCGTGCCCGATCTGTGGATGCTCTGGATGACCTCACCCGGCCGAGCTCTGCTGAATCTGGGAGGAGGTCTCCCCCAAGTAGGGGGAGGAGAGGTCAAGCCTATAGACCGCCCAGAAGCCGAAGCCGAGATGACCTCTATGATCAAGATTACCCAAGGGAATTTCCACACTCCCGGGATTCCCACTACGATGACTTCAGATCTAGAGACCGCCCTCATGCTGACCCTAGGTCCCGCCACCACCGCTCCCGGGACCCTCGGGAGGATGGCTCCAGGTCTGAGGACCCCCAATATGATGGGCGGCTACTGGAAGAGGCCTTGAGGAAAAAGGGGCCAACTGAGAGGAGGAGACCTTACAGAGAGGAAGATGAGGAGGACGCCTACTACCCTCCAGCGCCTCCCCCTTACTCTGAGACGGACTCCCAGGCCTCACGCGAGCGGAGGCTTAAGAAGGTGAGTGAACAGTCCTTCCGGGATTTAAGACTCTTCCTGGACCCTCTCCTCCAGTCGTCCCCAGCTCACACCCTTTTTCTTTCTCCCTTGCAGAACTTGGCCCTGAGTCGGGAAAGTTTAATCGTCTGATCTCACTTTTTCTATGTACCTTTTGTACTTTTTTTTTTTTTTTAATTTGAGGGACTTATTGATGATCTTGCCCTCCTAAGTCTAATAAAACGATCACAAGACCTATGTCTAGAGGGAGGCGTTTCTTTTGCTGCGTGAGGTGGGTAGCCCGGGCAGCTGCTGTGTCTGTGTGTGCGTGCCTGCGAGTCTGCCAAAGGCCGGGCGTCCAGCTTTCTCCCAGGACTCGCATCCTGGGCCCGGAGGAAAGCACCGGCTCTGCCTTCCTCCCCGGGCCAGGAGTACGTGCCCCACGCTGACTCCGCCCGGCCCTGCGTGCGCGCCCCGGCCCCGCCCAGTCGTGCGCATGCGCCCCGGACCTCCGCCTTCGCGCACCTCCGACCAGCCGCCGGGAGCGCGCGTGCGCGCTCCTCTCCCCTTCAACCCCGTTCACCTCCCCCAACTCCGACCTACTTTACTGTTTCCAAACCCCGCGGCCTGCCTCGTCCCCGGCGACCAGAGCCCCTCCTCCGGGTCCCCCGGCGTTCTATCCGGGGCCGCGTTCCACTCGGGCGGCCCGCCGGCGGGTGCCAGGCGGCCGCCGAGGCGACAACGGCGACCTCGCGCCCCGCCGAGACCCGGCCTCGCGCGCGCCCGCCCGCCATCGGAGACACACAGCGCGCGCGCTCCCCGGGGGCTGCCCTCCCCCCGCGCGCGTCGGCCCCGGGCTCGCGCCGCTGCCGCCGCCGCCGCCGCCGCCGCGCGCGCGCAGCTCAAGTAAAGGAGGAAAAAAAAGGGGGAAAAAATAGAAAGCAGCGGCGGCTGCAGCAGTGATCCGCCGCCGAACTGGGCCAGGCCGGGCGGCGGACGCGCGAGCCGGCGATCCAGGGGAGAGGCGGCAGCCACCCAGGGCGGGCCGGGTTAAAAAAAAAGTCGCGGCGGCGGCGGCCGCTGCTCAGGGAAGGAGGCCCGAGGGCCGCGTGCAGCGGGTGGGGGGCGGCCGCGCTGCGTCCCGGAGCCGAGAGCCGCCGGGAGCCGGCGGGCGGGCGGAGGCGGCGGCGGCGGCTGCAGGAGCAGCAGCGGCGGCGGCGGCAGCGGCGGCATCTCCTCCTCACATGACCCCACTGTTTGTCCCCGTGATCAGCGCGAGCGGCTCCCGTGTCTCCTCCGTCCCCTCCTGCCGCGCGGCGTGAGCGCCGGGCTCGGGGCCCCCCCG